TAAGCTTTTTTCATAACTATTGGATGTTTGTATTAGTTATTCACGACTGCTCAAATAAGCATTTATTATCACGTGAAATAACCTTTTTTTAGCAAATAATAAGCTTTTTTCATAACTATTGGATGTTTGTATTAGTTATTCACGACTGCTCAAATAAGCATTTATTATCACGTGAAATAACCTTTTTTTAGCAAATAATAAGCTTTTTTCATAACTATTGGATGTTTGTATTAGTTATTCACGACTGCTCAAATAAGCATTTATTATCACGTGAAATAACCTTTTTTTAGCAAATAATAAGCTTTTTTCATAACTATTGGATGTTTGTATTAGTTATTCACGACTGCTCAAATAAGCATTTATTATCACGTGAAATAACCTTTTTTTAGCAAATAATAAGCTTTTTTCATAACTATTGGATGTTTGTATTAGTTATTCACGACTGCTCAAATAAGCATTTATTATCACGTGAAATAACCTTTTTTTAGCAAATAATAAGCTTTTTTCATAACTATTGGATGTTTGTATTAGTTATTCACGACTGCTCAAATAAGCATTTATTATCACGTGAAATAACCTTTTTTTAGCAAATAATAAGCTTTTTTCATAACTATTGGATGTTTGTATTAGTTATTCACGACTGCTCAAATAAGCATTTATTATCACGTGAAATAACCTTTTTTTAGCAAATAATAAGCTTTTTTCATAACTATTGGATGTTTGTATTAGTTATTCACGACTGCTCAAATAAGCATTTATTATCACGTGAAATAACCTTTTTTTAGCAAATAATAAGCTTTTTTCATAACTATTGGATGTTTGTATTAGTTATTCACGACTGCTCAAATAAGCATTTATTATCACGTGAAATAACCTTTTTTTAGCAAATAATAAGCTTTTTTCATAACTATTGGATGTTTGTATTAGTTATTCACGACTGCTCAAATAAGCATTTATTATCACGTGAAATAACCTTTTTTTAGCAAATAATAAGCTTTTTTCATAACTATTGGATGTTTGTATTAGTTATTCACGACTGCTCAAATAAGCATTTATTATCACGTGAAATAACCTTTTTTTAGCAAATAATAAGCTTTTTTCATAACTATTGGATGTTTGTATTAGTAATTCATGACTGCTCAAACAAGCCTTTATTATCACGTGAAATAACTTTTTTTAGCAAATAATATGCTTTTTTCATAACTTTTGGGATGTTTGTAACAGTTATTCATGACTGTTCAAATAAGCCTTTAATATCACAAGAAATAATTTTATTTAGAAATAGATCTTTTCGTAACTATTGGGAGTTTGTAACAGTTATTCATGACTGTTAAAGTTTGAGAATTATTTATTGACTTCAATGATTTTTATTTAGGTAGAAAAATCTCGCCAAATCAGTGATATATATAAAAAAAGTTGAATAATTTTTAAGCTATTTATCAGCAATGAAGCTCAGATAAATCATTAAGGCAAGATTCAGTTAGTTCAAAATTATAGCAATGTTTTGAGTTAAAAGTTACAATATAATGTCCATGGACAAATTATTAGACGCACTATATGATTCTATGTTAAATCTTAATTATCAGCTGATACTATACAGCTTTATTGTTTTTACGTGACTGAAACCGGTTTGCATTTGTTTACGTTCGTGTATCAATTGGATAAATTAGACGATATATAATATAAATTTGACGATTGTATAAGTTAGACGCAATATTGTATAAATAGAGAATATTTATTATATCAGGTATTATATTAGTATATTATAATAATTAAACCAAATCATTAGAAGCACTGTAGATTTTTAATAATTGCATGTTTTGCACGAGTTTGCATGCAATACTTTTATATTTAAGCATACATGTAATGGGTTTTTATTCAGGAGATTTTCTATATACTTTCCACTTGTATTTATTTTGAACGTATTGCATTACAATGTTAACCAATTGATACACGAACGTAAACAAATGCAAACCGGTTTCAGCAATGAAACTGTATAGTATCTCTTGATAATTAAGATTTTACATAGAATCTTATAGTGCGTTTAATAATTTGGACAGAAACTGTAAGTGCTAATTAAGTCTTTTTTTTAAATTTTTTCTTTGGAAAATGCTTTGAAAATCACCCTAATAGTAAATAATTCCCAAAAAGAGAAAGGATATTGTCCTATTTTATAGAATTTAGCCCAAACAACAATGCCCTTATTTGACACCCAATTCATTATCTTTAAAATCATCAAATTAAAGTTAACTTTTGGTAATTGACTCCCGAAAGGCGTTGTTCTCCTTGTGACCTCGCTTATGTTTAGCCTGGTGACATGGAAGGCCGTGTCCGGAATGTCACGCGTGGGGGACGTCCTGTAGGCGTCCAGAAGAGGCATCATTGTGCCTTGGGAGGTATCTTATTCCGTAAGAGCATACATTTCCAATTTCTGTGTAGGTTGAGTAAAACGTAAAGAAAAAAATTATTCATTACGCAGTTAATTTGGTTTGAGAAATCGATTCATGAATATACAGTTATATAGGTAATTCTCAGATAATACGACGCAGTGGAAGAAAGAAATTTTAAGTTTAATATCTTCAAAATAACACTTTTTTTTTAAAAAAAAATATTGATTTACTTAACACTAATTAATATTTTATAGAAAGCAGTGTAGTTTATAAACATTATGGAGTTTACAATTTTTTCCTGGCATTCAAGTTCCAGGAAAATGACATAAAGGATAATGACATTTTATAATTTTTACTTCCATGCTCTTCTACTTTTAAAACTTCTACTACTTTTACTTCTACATTGTGCAGTTTACAATTTTTTCCTGGCATTCAAATTTCAGGAAAATGACTTTTTATAATTTTGTAGCATTTTACTTCCATGCTCTTCTACTTTTAGAACTTCTACTACTTTTACTTCTACTTCTACATTATGCAGTTTACATTATTTCCTGGCATACCAGTGCCAGAAAAATGAGACCAGGATAATGACATTTTATAATGTTTTACTTCCATGCTCTTTCACTTTTAGGCCTGACGCTTCTACTTTGTGTAGTTAACAACATGGCTCTTAAAAGAGCGCAGACTGAGTAATATAGTTAGTGCTATTAAGAATTTAAATGAGGTATGAAAATGAAAACATAAAAACCTGCTTGCTTTTTAAAATCTCTTTAAATGGATTTTTCGCTGAAACTGTACCAAACACTTTTAGAAATTGTTTTTGAATATTATTCCTTGAGCACCTATAGAAAAACCTTTAACAGTTTAGAAGTAAGAAATTAGATAGAGGAAAATGTATATGCAGTTTTACAGCAAGTAACAGTAAAGTAACAGTTCCGCAACAGCCCGTTGTTGGGCAAAGGGTCATGGAGGTAACGGCTCCAGAATATGGCAGTGTGGACAACATTGCTTCCCCTTTACTTCCCAGACAAGCTGGTACTTATTTATCTGAAGTTGGGTGAGCTTCAAGCCATCACTTGGGTTCGAACACCAGTTCTTCACAACGACAGTTCAGTGCCTAACCACTGAACCATCGCTGCCATTATTGAAGCTACTGAGCCATTATTAAAAATATCGCTTTTGACATGGCAGGAAAAGACGTTTTGAAAACCAACCTACATTTTTAAATTTATATAACCGCTAAAACCAGTGTAAAATCATTTTAAAAAGCTAACAATAATGGTATTAATTAAACTTAAAGACATCATTTTATTATTTGATTATAGATTTCGGTGACAGTTATAAATTAGCATATTTAATGAGAATCTTTACGTAAGTGTCTTATTAAGCAATTTATTCCTAGCAGCAAAAAGTGCTCCGTTTTACCTCCTGATCCCCAATGTCCAATATATTGGGCAGCATTTGGTATAATTTTATCAATTAAAAAATATTCTTTAATTCGTTGTCATATATCTTAATAATGCGATTGTCTATGAAAAAGAACAATTTGTTTTTTCTTCGGGGGTTGGAATTTTTAATTACTATTGAAAATCAAAGGATAGGTAAGAAACTTGATTGAAGTTACTTTTTGAACAGTTTTATGGCATATAAATCTTATTTAGTCTTGTGAATTTCGTTTCATGACCAAAAATATAAGGAAATGCTCTTCACAAAAAATTTAATTAACCTATATTTTTTTTGAAAAAATATTTTATTGCATTTATGAGTTTATTTTTTATTTAAACATTTTTTTTAAAAATATTTTATCGCATTTATGAGTTCAGTTTCTCCTAAATTTTCGGAAAAAAAATATTTTATTACATTTATGAGTTTACTTTTTTCTGAGCCACATATTTCTTAGTGAAAATTGCATTTTCTGAGATCATTAAAAGCTCAGGTCTGGAGAAGATAAGAAAAAATACCAACATGCAAAAGATGGTTGTACAAATGGTATTTTTTTGAGTTACCAACCATTTCAGCTTAAAAAATGCATAGTGCTTTGATTTTAGATCCAAATATAATGTTAATGCTATTAATATTATATTACGCATCTATAAACTATCTTAGTTCTACAAAATACATCATTATAATGAAACACTTGTGCTACCACGCATTCACAATTCGTACTCAATCGTGACGTCACCTCCACAAGACATTTAGAAATAGATATGAAGGGGAAGAAAATTTTCTCCAGATCCCTCTACCCGTGGTATTGCTCAACGACCAACCACAGGACTTTCGATTCCAAAGATTTTTTATGCTCACGTATATCGTATGTACTCAATGGTTCTTGGAGGCGTCGAGGATCGAACCCCGGACACTCAGGGCCGATGACCAATGCTCTAACCGCAGGACTAAACCATCTCTAAACTGGTTTTAGATTATTTTAATCCCTCCTAAGCTCTTGCTGACCTCGTTAGTGATTTATTTGATCATGAAAGCATTTTTTTTCTTCATTTAATTAAAATTGCCACATGTAGTTTATGAATTCCAAAAATATCTACGTTCTAAAAGCTGTAACTTTTGAAGAAATTGCATTATTGAAATAATTTAAAAATCTTCACTTTTTAGGCTTGGATATGAATAGAGGAAGATGATTTTCCAGATACCTTTCTATGCATGGTAAAAGTGGAAAATTGTGATAATAATAATCAGAACTAAAAATGAGGAAGTCGCTTAAAAAGAAGTATTCATCAATCACCTTATAATTGTGAAGTGTTCATGAGTAAGTCCTTTTTCATTTAGAGTAATGAAATATTTTTTTCGAAAATTACACTGGAAAACTTTAGCAAGTTGAGAAGTTGAGAACGGAACTTTAAGTTGAGAACGGTTCTTAGGTATTTCAAGGTCGCTGATTTCAAATTTGCAATCAGTTTATCTCCACAAACAACAGCTTTTCTGCAAATTAATAATACATTTTTAACCAGGTTGTTTTCTGTTGCATGAGAGTTTTAAAAGGATCTTGAGTTTTAATGTTCACTTGAATGATCCACTTCTCTGCAACGCAGGGAGTGGTAGGAAAAAGACGATAATGTATTTCAATTAAGGATGCGGTACGCTAAGGCCATATGTTCCTTGTCTTAAATGTTATTTTCAAAGTAGCAGAAAAATGTATATGGATGTAGCAACTATAAACTTCCTAAACTTGTGCATTCAGTTAAAAAATAAGCTAATCTGAAAATATCATTTAAAAAAAAATCTGTATCTTTTGGAATAAAACTAATTTCAGAGATTGAAATCCCGAATTGGATAAGATCAAGTACTTACAAGAGTCATTTTAGGAGTAATTTGGGTTCGCGAATGGACTCTTCACAAATTATTTGATTGTAAAAATGGATTTTCACAAAATATTTTATTGTAAAAATAGACCTGCCACAAAATGTGTTGTAGTGAAAACGGACCTTTCACAAGATATTTCAGTGTAAGATCGAACATCTCACAAATCATTCTTTTTATAAAATCAAAACCTTCACAAAAAAACTTTACCGTTACTTAAACTGTTGCTTAAAACTTTAAAAGCAAATTCTTTTTACATTGCTTCATTGTAAAGACGGAAATCTCACAAATTGTTTTACCACAAAATACTTTACCATAAAAACAAATCTTTCATCAATTGTTTCAGTGTAAAAACAGACCCTTCGGAAAATATTTTATCTTGAAAATGGTACCTTCACATTACTTTTCATTTCAAAAATGTAGTACCTTTAAAAAAATTTTTTTTTTTTTGAAGAGCGGAGTTGATGACGTCTTTAGAATTTTAAGACTACACTATTTAAGACTTTTACAATTTTAAGAATACAATTCCTTAAAAAGCATACAATTCTAAAAATACGACTTTTTCAAAATTTGATTTCTCAAAGACTTTTCGACTGATTTCGTTCATATTTTATATTTTCCTATGTAAAATTGCATTTTTGAAAATAATTTAAGAAATTGCTTACCTTACAATTAAAATTTTTTTCGACTAATATTAAATAAAATAATAAGAAATATTAAAAAAAAATATTCACTGAAAGTTATTTTTTGAATGAAATTATCTTCGGATAAGCGATTTTTATAATTGTGTGCAAAATGTTTTTAAATTGGCGAAATTTGCAAAAAGTAAAATTAACTATAAGGGGTTCAAACTTTAGACCGCCCTCCTGATCAAACTATGAAGACCATATTTTGGCTGTCAGAAATCCAAATCCGTTGATGAAAAGGTATGTTTATTCAGAGAAAGTGCGTTTTTGTGTCTGATTTCGTAACTTAAAATATCGTCTGCACTGACAGATTATCATGTATGAAATCACTCTCACAGACTTTTAAGATTGAGTATTAAAGCGTGAAGACCCAATCATTAGATCAAGAGTTATTCAGGGTGGTCCGTTTTTTATTTTGCTCACTGTATATCAGTCATGGGAAGGCACTACGCAATTCTTAATCTTCATGATGTGTTCTATCTCATCTTTAAGTTTGTAACCGCTGAGCTGAATCACACTGTAGGATGAGCTCAGCGTCTTCTGGGTTGCACAGCATTGGTCTCCGCTAGCAGAGAGACATGAATCACTGCCTTATGACCCCTTATATTAGGAGCAATGTACTTCTTGCCACCGATACATATACCATGGGTGCTACGTCAACACCTCCTAGAAAAGTACCTACGTACGAATTACCATAAATTAGAAATCCGATCCTTAACACGTTGAATGCCACGCTAATTTTACATGGCTTGCCCGTCTGGCCTAAATGATTTTCTCAGTATGTATTGCATTAATTCCTTCAAACCATTTTAGTAACGATAATAATATAAAAAAATTAAAAGCATTAAAAATTTACTCGAATTATGTGTTTCTAATAATCTTGACTTCCCCGGTCACCGGTGACCCCTGTGGCACTACGAACAAGCTCAGTGCCGGTCACCGGTGACCCTCATGGCATTCAACGTGTTAATAGTCCGAATGAAGTGATATATTTTGAATTTTCCCCTCCCTTTGCAGGTCCCGCAGTGGGCTGATCGTAAGGTCACGGTTCCCAGTGGAACACCGAAGTCACGCATCACTTGCTACGGTCAGTAAGCTGGTGGGTGACCACATTGATCAGCTTATGAAGGTGCCGATGGTGAGCGGTATCAATCCTCGTTAAATTGTTCTACCGTAAAGTGCATCGACTACCATAGTTGTTGGGCTACCGAAGCAGAGGAGCCATCCCCTCCGCAGATGATCAAAATTGTGATGGCTTGTCTTTGGATAATCCTCAGGAAAGTTTCTCAGACCGTTGCCAATATCCCATAGTGTAGCTCTAGTGCGACATAAATAAAGAAACTACCTAACTACCTTCACTGCGCGATTCAGTAGCCCGAACGCAGTGACACGTTTCTTATTAATCCCCCACTGCGCAGTTTATGTTCGTTGCGTCGGATGACTAAATTGAGCAGAGCAGAGGCCTTCCCTCTTCCAGGAGGTGTTTCCCACGTGCGCCTAAAAATGTAAAAAGTGGTAGTATCCTAATTCATATTTATTTTATCTGCTTAATTATTCAATTGTAATTTCCATCATAATATAAATTTTAAATTACTTATATTTGAAGCGAAATTACTCTTTGCATCCACTTTCAATAATAAATTGAAAGAAATATGCTAGGATAAGTTGTAACTTTTATCTGTTTTAAAATACTTCTGTTTTGAGTTAGCCACCACTTTTTACAGCACACGTGAACCCCCTGACCCTCTTTACTCACCTCAATATTATCTATGAAGTATGATAATGATATTATAAATTAATGAAAATTACCAAAAAAAATTATTTTAATGTGTTGACGGCTTTTTCAGAGTAATATATTACTGTTTTATATAACCAAACGTTTCCATTTAAATATTTTTCGTTATAATCATCAAGCTAACTTGTCAAACACTTTTCTTGCAGGTGAGCTGTGAGAAAAGATTGGAATTTAAGAAGAAAAAAAAACTTATGAATTAAAATGCCTGGTAGTTTACTATTAGGTGCAGATACTTATTCTGATGTATCCGAATATTCAGGAAGAAGCCTTGATTCTAAAATTGGAGGCAAAAAAGTGAGCTTTAATAAAGCAGTTCGAGTCAAGCAGTATCCATGGAAACCAGATGTGGATGTTGCTACCTCTGAACATTTAACCTTACCGAGTAACAGATTTTGGTTTAAAGTATACAAAAACAAACACGACACTCCAGTTTCCTATGATTATTCAACAGCAACGTCGAAACAAAACAACTGGGAGGAAGAAAGTATGGAGTGTATTCATGATTCTCTTGCACCAATTGCTGAAGTAGATGATCAAGAAATAGAAACAAGCCCAAAACATACTAATAACACAATCTCAGAAAGAAATGGATATGAACGAAGTGATGATTTCAACGATTACAATGGATCCTACAAGAGTTATGATTATCAACCGATAGACCCTCCTGTTGATTATTTTGATGAAATGCGTTTAACTTCAAACAGAGGTATGAATGGTGCCAGGCGAGTCTGGGGAGAAAATGATTTAAAAAATGATCGTCCCAGTTATGATCCGAATCCCTCGAATATTTCCAGCCAGTGGAATGGCAATGGTTATCACAGACAACCTGATAAGATTGATGAAAACTCCGAAAATTCATATTCAATGTCCATGTCCGATATTAATGGGCTTCCTCGTTCTAGCTTTAGAAACGATTTTGCTACAAGACGATCGATGCGAAGATTGGACAATTCAGATGGCTTTACGACCCGAGGAAGGAGATCCAGGTCTCATGACGAATACATGGATAACGATAGCAGGTTTAAGCATCTTAAAAAAGCCGATAAAGCTGTGTCCACTGATGATTTGAATAACGGCAATGTACTTATTAGTCCAAGTAATAGATTTTTTAAAGGAAGCAGAGATATTGCTACGCAGTGTCATTTGACATTAACTCGAAATAAAAGCCAGTCCTCCTTTAATAATCTCAATATGTCTTCCACTTCTCAAGCAAATTCCCACATAAGCAACACTGAAAGACTTAAAAACTTCACACCGCAAAGGCCTAGACTTAACTTTATCAACGAATCAAATAGTGTTGCAACAAGTCCTAAGAAAGATTATTCCTTAGAAAAAGTATCGAGCATAATTCGCACCCGTACGAACTCACCTAAATCAAATGACTTCTCGGCACAAACAGGACACAATTACAAGCAATACGGTCACGAGTCAGAATTCCACAATAACACAAATAGCGCTAATTTGAAGCCTTTAGCACGAACAGAAAACAACATAGCGACCATCATGCAAAATCAGGCTAATAGAACATTTAATAGATTCAATCCAAGAAGTGAATCAATAATAGATACTAAGAGCAATCGAGAAAATACCAATCGCTTTGTATCTTCAAAGGAACCAAACAGTACTGGATTCAATAGATTCAATCTAAGAAGCGATTCAACAATAGATACTAAGAGCAATCGAGAAAATAGCAATCGGTTTGCTTCTTCAAAAGAACCAAACAATACTGGATTCAATAGATTCAATCCAAGAAGTGATTCAACAATAGATACTAAGAGCAATCGAGAAAATTCCAATCGATTTGTATCTTCAAAAGAACCAAACAATACTGGATTCACTAGATTCAATCCAAGGAATGAGTTGAAACCAATTGATACAAAGAACAACAGAGAAAACACCAATCGTCATGATGCAGCGAGAGAAACAAACGGTGTTGGATATCTTCGGGGACATCAAATACCATTGAGTGAAGTAAACACAAATACAAATCGCAAATTCATGGGCAGAAGTAACGGCCAATTGAACCAAAACCACATATCTCGTAAAATTGACGAGAACCAAAGCATGGTAAAACTTCCAAGTGTATCTACAAAACCTGATTTACAGTCATCAAAAGGTTTCCAGACAAAGAGATATCTTTCTCCTCCAAATAACCACGAACGAAGAAGTTTTAGAAACGGTTCTAACTCAGCCAAGAGTTACGCCAGTGAAGGTGATAGTTCTATGATAGATTGGTCGCTATCAGGTTTTCAATTGGCTTCAAAACCTGAGAATGGTTTAAATTCCGTTTCAGATAGTGAGTATACTGTACATAGGCGACCACCACTGCTTATGTATATACCAGGGGTAAGCCATCATGACCGGCCAGCAATCGAAGACGATCGGTTGTCAGCTTTAAGTGATATTTCTCGATCGGAGTTGAATGACGGTTTAAGCTCACTTGCTGGTTCATCAAGAGACAGAAGTGTTATTGGTGATTTGCGAAGAAGACAATCAATGAGAGAGGGAAAATCAAAATGGCTAAAATGGAGATCCAAAAGCTAATTACAATATGTTATAATATCTATAAGGACTACTAAATTATATGAATTATTATTGTTTTGATTATAATTTCTCATGGTATCATGTATGTTAACGTTACAATTTACGTAACTGCTCTGGAAGCATTATTACTATTGTAAATTTGATTAAATTCTAACTGAACTTTGTGATAATTTTATGGTAATTTTATTGCAATACAAACTGTCTCGATTTTGAATACACAATCTATGTAGTTTTTGGTGTAGATTAGAGATCTGATAGATGAAACTTTTAATTTTACATAGCATCATTTCATATTACGACGGAGCCTTCAAAAATCAGCCTTAAAAGTTTTTAACTTTTGCTAAAGCGTCTTTAGGAATAAAACCTATTTTAATAAAAAATTTCACAGAAAATGGTAACCACAAAGCACCTTCAGAACTTCGTGTGTTTTAAAGAATTGAAATAAGTTTGAATGCATACACTTACATTGATTCTTTCTCATTTACAAACTCCAATAAAATACATATCAGTATTCATGCTGCTACTGCAAATACACACATTACAAAAGTAATTCATAATAGAATTCTTTGAATCTTTGGTATGTAGATATTTTGTAATGCTAGCTAAGTTTTGAACTAAAAGCTTAAGTCTAAATTTCTTTTTTTATCACGCTTTAAATAAAAATCTTTAGAAATTTTCCTTTAAAAATTCAATATTGAACAATATATATAGTTCTACTTCTTAGTGTATTTAAAAAAATTTTTAAGAAGTTAAGCTCAAAACACAGGTAACTACAATATTGGTGTAGAAAAAAAATTATTTTAATATTTATGCTCAAAACACAAAAACAATTATAAAAACTATTAATTTTTAATGTCACACCAGCGGCTCTACGACAAATTGTTATGAAAATTGTTTAGTTTTATCACGCTTTAAATAAAAATATTTCGAATTTTTCTTTTAAAAATTCAATGTTGAACAATATATTTAGTTCCGCTTCTTAATGTATTTGAAATTTTTTATAAAGTTCAGCTCTAAGCACACGTAACCACATTATTGATACGGAAAAAAAAATTGTTTTTTTTTCATGCATTACAATTTGTCATAGAGCCGTTGGCGTGACATGAAAAATTAGTAGTTTTTATACTCAAATTTGCTCTTATTTTGAAAAAAAAAAATATTTTGTTGATTTTTAAAGTTTAATCTAGATTTATAATTTTAAGACTTCCCAAAAATAAGATTGAAATTTTAATTATGGTTGAAAAATTGTGTTGAATCCAATAATTAATCTGAGTAATTTTAAATGACATAATCCAAACTTTGATAGAAATTGGTTGAATAGTTCTTGAAAAAATAAAAATATGATTTCTTCAAAAAGCGAAAACGCAAAAAGTGAAATTAACATTAAATTTTCGATCGCTCTATTGCCTAAACCAGTGGTTCTTAACCTTTTTAAGCCGCGACCCAAATTTGAGAAACATGTTCATGTCGCGACCCAAATTTGAGAAATATGTTCATGTCGCGACCCAAAAAAAAAGTCAAACTTTTTTCATTGCTTTATTTTAGATCGTATTTTTAAAAAATCTTCAATCCTACGATGATTTTTTTTAACTTACAAATTTTTTATTTATTTTTTTAATAATAAAGATAAACAAAAGTACTTTTCGATCCAAGGAAAATTTAATTAATAATCAAGTGTTTTTAATAATTTTTATTGACCAAATTAAAATATATTTATAACTTTTTGAAAATAATTGGCATTTTAACTTATTCCTAAAAAAAAAAAAAAGAAATATCAATACATCTGTTAAGTCTTTTAAATTTTAAATGCAAGTCATACAGTTTTAATGAGAACCTTGTGCTTGAATAGATTTTGAAAGATCTTCAAACCTCGGTTGAATGCTTGTCAAGGAGCAACTTATATCTATTTCAGGATTTAACTTGTTCCGGTAATTGTTTTTGATTGCACACAGAGCCGAAAAACTAGCCTCACACATATATGTTGTTGAAAAGGGCAATAATACTTTTAGGGCTTCTTTAACAATTATTGGCTTTTCGGTTTTTAATTTTAACCAGAAAGCACATAAAGATTCAGTGTTTTTGTAGAAATTGTATCGAAGTGCTTGGCCACTTTGTATTTCTATTAATTGTTCTTGAAATTGATTAATATTAACAAATTCCTCATTAAGCATAGGCTGAGTAAGCCACAATAACTTCTTCTAGGAGGTGTTGGTATTACTTATGATTTGGTGTATTACTAACTTCTTTGGTTCAACTCAGCGCGACCCAAGAAATATGCTTCGCGACCCAATTTTGGGTCGCGACCCATAGGTTAAGAACCGCTGGCCTAAACTATTGTGTTCATATTTTCCAGGCTGTTACTACGTCCCATATTATGAGAATTACGTATCCAATTCCTAACCAATGAAAAAAAAGCTTTGTTTATTCCGAGAAAATGCTTTTTGTATCTGATTTCATAACTTAAAATATAGTGGGCGCTAATTAATTAGCATATTTAAGGCCCTAGAACCATTAAGATTGAGTCCTGGTAAAAAAGTTTTCGCTTTTTTTTTCTTATTGTATAGTGCGCAAAATAAAAAACAGACCACCCTGCATAACTATTGGTCTAATGATCGAATCTTGACGTTCTAGGACTCAATCTTAATGATTCAAGAGGTGATCTCATATATGCTAATTATTTAGTGTAGACGATATTATAAGTTACGAAATCAGACACAAAAGCCTACTTTCTCTGATTAAGCATACCTTTTTTCAACGGATTGGCATTTCCGACCACTGATATATAGGGAGTTGCCTTAATCTGGGAAATATGGTCCCACTAGTTTGGTTCGGAGAGTGGTCTAAAGTCTGGATCCCTTAACGTTAATTTTCTTTTTGCGTATTTCATTATATTTTGTGAACTTTTTCAACGAATTGAAAAATTGTTTCACACAGTATTACTTATCCAAAAATAATTTTATGCAAAATATAACTTTTAGTAAATGTTTATTATTTGTAATAATTGTATTTAATAATAGTTGAAAAACTTTTGAATTGTAAGGTATACAATTTACATCTTTTTAAAGAATACAAATTTCAATGGAGAAATACAAAATTTGAGCGAAATTGGATGAATAGTTCCTGAGAAATCAAATTTTGAAAAAGTCGTATTTATCTTTCAGTTATGCAACGCCACAAGACGCTTAAATAACAGTGCTAATTAGCAAAAACCATTTCCTTCCAACTTTAGTTATTCTTTTAAAAAGTTGCAAAGCAACACAAAGTTATTTGAGTAAGTAGCTAATTATTAGTTGAGTTACTTAATAGCAGTAGATTCTTCTATTAGAATGTAAACGAGTAATTGAAGATTTCTGTCATTAACTGAATGACAGGAGATATTCTTTTCAGACATGAAGTAATAGAAACTTCACAAGTTTTTCAAAAGAGAGAAGTCATTGCATTGTTTAATATGACAAGAAATTTATCCCAATATCAATTTTACACAAATAGAAAGTTTTTTTTTAAAAGTATTACTTAAGATCATTACTCAGCAAGATTTTATTTATTGAAGAGTTTAAGGCAATATAGTGACAAGCCAAACTTTTGCATTACGTACTTTGTCGATTTACAAAAATAACATCTTATTTAAGTATTACTTAAAAAAATTATTACCCAGCAACTATTTTATTTCTTAAAGGCTTGGGAGAATATAGTGATAATCCAAACTTTTTGATATAACACTTCTTTCATTTTAACATAAAACTGCAACTTAGTATTGTTTCCAGATAAGTACTTCACAAATTTCTCGTATTTTCTTTAGATAACTACAGTATACAGGAAAAAGTAATTGCATACGTGAGAATTATGGCGTTGTTAAAAAAACCGTTACTCCAGAGCAATTTGAAGATGTGGCTTATCATTGTATAATGCCAAGCTTTCTACAAATGTAGTACTGAATTTTTAACGCGTCTTTTGATAATGCCAAATTGAAAGAAATATCAGTTTTTCGCGCATTTTCGTATATTTATAAAATAAAAATATATTATTAATTGGAATGCCTCCAAAAATCATGCTTAGGATATTTTTAAAAATAATTGCACGTAAACAGTTTACTCGCTATTTTCTGATAGTATCGATTATGAAAAAAAGAGCCAACAATTTAATGATCAAATATATAAGTTGGAAAAAAATTTTTTTTGCACGAAATGAAATCTACGAAGATTTTACAATCCGCTTAAAGGGAAAAGAATCGTATTTCATTATTTTGTAATCTCTATAAAAATTTAAATATTATACATCAAATCTAAATTTAAAAAAAATATATATTACGATTTTATATTTTGTTTTAGTCGTAGATATAGAACTTTCCTTATAAAAGTTTATTAGATTAATAGAACTTTATATAAAAAAAGTATGAACCCTAGTTTAAAAATTATGTTTTTGAGAAAAACTCGTATACCGATATTAGAAATATACCAGGTTCAAAAATTTTGCCGGATCCGTGTACCAGGTGAAAAAGGGAATTTTTTTCCCGACTGGGTTTTGGGTACCCGGTAAACATTTTATTAGTTACCCAGCCGGTTCCGGGTACCTGGTTAAATTTACTTTGTTACTCGGTTGTATTTTATAACAATTAAAAAAAATAATATTAAAATCGTATATTTTTCTATTGAACAGATATTTTACAAGATGAAGCTCTAAGGAAATTTATAGCGTGCCTGTATTATTATAGTCATATACTATTTTTATTTTTAGATATTTATTTTTAAAAAGTTTTTAAAAAAAAAATGGGATGATTGTTTGGATGCAGTATATTTAATGTATTTGCTATTAAGCTTAGACATCTGCTAATAGGACTAATAGCTAAATGGACATTTTAATTATTTAATTTTTCATTGATTTATTTACATTTTCAATAGAATTTATTAATGTAGCTTCAGTTAAACGTAGGATATTTAAAAAAAAATTCTTTAAAAAAATTATGGTATATTAAATAAAAAAATATTTTAACTATCAACTCCACAGTAAAAGACGTTAACTGCTTCATACTAGTAATTTTCTTAGATAAAAAACATAAACGAAAAACACGTCAAATGGTAGAAAAAAAATTACTTCTTGAAAAGTCCAGCTATGAAATAAGTTAACTAGTTCCAATAAGTAACCTTGAAATAGAAGAATATATAATAAAACA